ACAAAAAGTTCTTATATATATATCAATATCAATATATATAAAGACAATACAATCTTTTGGTATAGTATTTCGTTGTTACATTTTTATCTCTATAACTATCTTCAAGTTATTTACTTCTCTATTATGAACTACCTACTATTTTGTAATTTCCTCTATTATTTTTATTTTTTATTTTTCTTATAGGAAAAGTAGATATAATTATGAAGAATTAAAAAAAGAATGAGATTAATTTAAACTATTTATTTATTTATTTAATTTAAAAAAAAATACATAAAGTCATGAAGTACTTATTTTACCCCGTGTGCATAGAGAAAGGAGAGGGTACTAAATGGAGTAGATAAATCGTACAATTACGAACTAATAATTTTTATTCTTATTGAAGAGAAAACTCCATGGGAGGATTTTGGGTTGAAGGGTAAAAATGGTCATTTTGGTGATCAACCTTAAACAAGAAGCAACATAGTACAAGGTACAAAATAGTTAATGTTCCGTGTTCCTCACTGTTTTGGTCCGTTACGCTAATTTTGCGGCCATCAACTAGTGGAGCTAAACTGTCCAATTGGATAATTGTGCTGAGAAATTTCCCAAAAACTAGAAAGAAGCAAATTTACGTCACCAAAAACTAACATTTTGGTCATGTTTTTAATATTTAACCATGTTAGTGGGAAAACCACCATATCTATACATAATCTTTATGAAAATTGGAACTTATTTAACAATCTCTAATGTGATCTTTCCTGCTTCAAAAAAAAAAAAATGTGATCTTTCCTTTTAATAATTATTTTTCATTTATAATACTCCAATCCCAATCCGGTCTTGTTGGTAGTCATTTTAGATGTTTTAAGAAAAGAAAAATATTTAGTTTTTTTTTCTAAATTTAAGTTAATTATTTTAATTTATAATACTCATCAGCTCTTGTCGGTAATTATTCTAAAAGTTTTTAAGAAAAGAAAGATATTTAGTTTTTCCTAAATTTGAATTTGAAAATATGATATATTATTTTTTTAAAATAGAAAATATTGTTTTTGGAATATTTTTTTGGATCTTTTATTTATGTTTCGTTCAAAATTGTTTTTAGAAGGAGTGAGAATTTAACATTTATGTGTTGAGAGGAAAAGTTTAATGAGTTTAACCAATATATATCGTCTCTGTAATAGAAATTATATTAGCCAATTAAAAATGAGTGTTTTGCTCTAAATTTTGGAGTTATTAAACTTAGATATTTTTTTTATTTAATATTTTGACGTTAGGAGAAATAGTTTTAATACAGTTAAAATTTCAAGAGAGATTAATTTTTATAAAATTAATAGATACTCCTATCAATATTATATATATATATATATATATATATATATAAAGAAAAATCTTATTATCTCATTTTTTTAAAAGATAAGTGAATAGTTAATGAAAAATGTGTATGTTGAATAAGAATGAAACTGAGAAAAACATACTAATCAAAATTTAAAATTCTAAATTGCATTTTGAAAAAAGTAAGAGAATAAAAACTTAGATGGATGGAGTATCAAGTATTCTTGATAGAAAAAAATCTACTTACTCTAATACTAATTCTTAATAAAGTTATTTTATTTAATAATTTATTATTTACGTAAAATTTTAATAATTAACTATTAAATTATGAGTTCTTAATTAATGGGTCAAGTTTATAAATTTTTAAAAATTGTTTGATATTTTGTTATATTAATTTAAATTAATGTATATTCATAAATATATATTATATGTCAATTTAAATGTATATAATGAAATATTATAGAATTTTCAAACTTTGCAAAAAGTTTATAAACTTAATTTATTCATTAAAAGCTTTAAATTTAACAGTTGAATCGATAAAATTTAACGTAAACCATGAATTAAGAGTGAAGTAATTCTAGCGAGAGTTACTCTTGAAGAAGTGAATCTTACTCCATAATTAATATACTTAATATAATTTTAAAATAAAATCTAAAATATTTATTCATTTTTATTATTTCTTTATTGTTGTTTGTATTACGAGATATTTTTCTATGAATATTTTTAATATTTTACAAAGAAAATACTACCTTCGTTCTTATAAGTGAAAAACAAAATTAAAGTCTTATTTTGTTCCTAATTATATGAATATTTTCCTTTATACCTTTAATTTTATGAGTCTATTAATTAAGCATTTATTCATTTTTTATGAAAGTAAATACATTTATTGGACAATAATATAAGTTATATTTGACTCTTAAGTAGTGTCACTAACCCCAAGTGTGTGGTTCAGCGGTAAGAGTTGATTCACGCTTAAGTAAGGTTAGGGGTTCAAATTCTGCCTTGTGTATGGAGTCGCGTTAAATCTTTAGTCATTGCTATACTCCAGGGACGAACCAATAAAAAAAATATAACTACTACCTACACTATTTAATTTGATGGGTATTTTTGGAATAAAATTCAAATCACACACTATTAATTACATTAACTAAATTAATTAACCATTTTCACTGTTGTTAATGAATTAGGTAGTTGTTACTTATACTCCATCCAATTCTTACTGGTCTTAAAAATAAACAAATTCAAACTAAAATTATTCTTATTATTGTTACTATCTGTAAAATACCTATTCATTTAATTAAAAGTTAATTTTCAGTGATCATTTTTATTCTTAATATGAAGTTCTAGAAAAGAGTAGTTTAGAAAATTAATTTATTTTTAAACGAGATTAGAGTAATCAAATAATATTAACTAAATTTTTTAATTAGGTGAATTAGTTTTTAATATATAATATATTATTGTATATTAATATAATAATATAATTACTTAATAATAATTTATTTATTTATATATGTATATATATATATATTAATTAATATAATAATATTACTATTATTTTAGATCCAAAATACAAGTTGAAGTTGTTGGAGTACTTTTGCCCTAAACTTTATGGTAACTCATCTTCAATTAAAATTAATAATATCAAGAAATTATGTTACTCATTGTTTGAAGAGTATCAAAATAAAGCTAAGAGAATATTAAAAATTCTAACTTTACGAGCAAATGTCAATGAGTTAAATTTAGATAATCTAAATATTAACAATTTTTTATAGTGATTATGAATTATTTGTGAATGATACAGTTGAAACACAAATAAATTCTGTAATAGAGCTTTACTTGGAAGAAAAAGTTGTGCCTAAGAGGGTTACTTTTGCCATTCTTGTATGGTGGAAAACAAGTGGAATCAAGTATCCAATTTTGCAAAAAATTGTTAAGGATGTTTTGGCAATCCCAATTTCAACTGTAGCTTCAGAATATGCATTTAGCAAATGAGATAAATTTTTCAGTCTTCATCATTCTAAACTCAATGAATTTACTTTGGAGGCACTTGTGTGTGCACAAAGTTAGTTAAAACACAAGCAATATAATGATAAATAATTAAACTTTGTTTATTTAATAAAATTTTTATTTTTTTATTGTTGGTTTTAATTATATTAATTAAAATTTTCTTGTCATATAATTTTTATTGATATTACTAGATCAAAACAATATACAGATTTGGAAGACAAACGTTTACAAAAACATGAAAAAGTTGATTTTGATGATGAGGTCAAATGTCTACATATATATATTTTTTTAATTTATAGCATATAATTTAATCTAACTAATTTTTGTATAATTTTTTTCATAGGTCTTGGAGAATATTGTTAACACATGATCATGATGTTGAAATTTTAATTACAACTTTTATTATGTTGATTGTTTTTAAAGTTTGTTTACAATAACTGAATGATTTGTAATCTTTATTTTACAAGAATTGTTATGTTGGATTTTTGTAATATTAAAGATCTAACAAATTAATATTATGTTTATTTGTGTAAAATATTATCTCTTTTTATTAATTTATTTACTTTATATATAAGTAAAATACAGGTTGCGAATGCGGGTATGAGTACACAGGTATCCAACGGGTATGAGATGAGAATTAATATGAAACTTGGTACGGATATTATAGGACTCGACTCAAACCATACCCATTGTCTTTCATACTTATATTCATAATTTAAAAGAGTATATAGGAACGCATATAGTATTAAATAAATAAAAAAGTCAATATATTTAATGCTTTTCAAAACATTAAAAGCATATTTTTCTTAAATTTCTAAGACTTGAAATCATTAATGAGTATTATTCTTTAGGTTAAATAATATTTTTGACCCTTTATATTATTTTTTAGATTTATTTTATTTATTTATCTTTTAAAATATTTATTTATCCTTTATCTCCTAAATTTAGGTGAATTTAGTCCTTTCAATCTTTTTTTGAATGATTTAAATCTTGAAAATTTTCTCCTAATATTCATCTATATGAAAATTATTGAATGAAATTGAAATTCAAACCAAATATGTTATAAACATGATGAAAATAAAAAATTTCAAGACATAATTTTATGTTATCTTCTAGTTGTTCATGAGATATTTTTTTTTTCATATAATTTTTACTATATTTATGGTCCTTTTTTTATTTATTCAAATGTCAATTGTATTATATAATTTTCATATAGATGAATCTAATGTTACACGTTTTACGTCTTGAGTCAGTCAAAAATTGATTATAATTATGTTACAAAATTGAAAATGATTATTATTTTAAAAGGAAACAAATGAAATAAAAATAAGATAAAAGATCATAAAACTTATCTATTACTAAGTTTATTAGACATAATTTACCTACTAATATCTTTTTTAATAAAAACATCATATTAAACTCAATTAATATTGTATAACTGTCTCATATTATAGTATTAGTGATCTTGATAAATTAAAATAAGATTTTTTAAAATTATAGAAAGCAAAATGAAAAACTTTAAATTTAGATTAAAAAAATTAAATGCATCCTTAAATTTGAAGTAGTAATTAATATATGTTTAAATATAAAAAAGATATTTATTTATTATCGTTTATCGTTGTTCCTCATACGACGTGGCCCACCTTTATCCGTGACTTACCCTTGGATGGAAGGGACAACAGAAGTGGAGAAAAACCAAAAAGGTCCTACATTAAAAAATAAGAAAACAGGAAAACATGAAAAGGAACACAATAGGAATCATCAGAACCAAAAGTGGGAAAAGGGAAATGGAGGAAAAGATTATTGGTAAACTTTTTAAAAATACTTTATTTTAAGAGGGTGAGACAGAGCCACAAGAGATTCAATCAATGAAAGATATATGATATATAAGTGGATCCACCCCATACCCAACGAAACCCCATTATAGATATCTAAGGCTTTAGAATAAATTTGATTAGTGTGCAGTACCAACCACAACCAAACTTTGTTGTGCTTTTCTTGCTTAGTTGCAGTGAGTTTTGACTATTTGGCAAAGAGTTTGTGAGATCTGAAAAAGTGACACAAATGGGTGTCAATGTGGGGGTTTTTTGTGCTGTGTTTGTATTGGCAACACAAGCAATAGGGGTTCCTGCAATTGCACCGTGGAAGAAGCTGCATGCACCATGGAAGAAGCATCCTAAAGGTACTATACTCACTTCTCTGCCATTGTTAATTACTTCATCTTTTGTTGTTTAACTTGCTTGGTGAGTTGGTTCCTGAATTGGAGTTTGCTATTGTTCTTCTTTTGGTGAGTTCAGATCCATGTCAGGATAAGAACATAATTACATAACCGGAAACGGGTGGAAATGTGGTCTGTGGTTTTTTTGTGTTTTTGTCTTTTCACATTATGTGGCTAATTAGTATTATGATTAATTTTTAAGTATTGAATTTGATAAAAAAAAAAAATCTTAATGAATAATTTTAATATTAAAAAGTTTTTGAGAGATTAGTTTCTGACAAACATTATTAGAGTATAAAAAAAAATTTACTTTTTCATGTAATTATATTTTTAATTTTTTAAATTTAAGGTATATATTTTTATTCTCCAATTTTAAACTTGTATTTTGATCTTTAAAATAAAAATTTATTATTTGAATCTCATAAATTTAAAATTTATTTTTCTAGTTTCTGTAATTTAAAAATATATTATTTTAATCTTTTATAGCGTAATTAAGCAAAGCAATTAAAATATTAAATTTTGATACTTTGTGACCAAAAACATAAATTTTAAGATTGAGGGATAAAAAAAGTATATAGAAGGACTAAAATGATATATTTTTAAAAAAAATTACGGAGATTAAAAAAAATTAAAATTCTACAATTTAGGAAAAAATTATTCCTGAGATATCAAAAATATATTTAAACTTTTTTTTTATATATTATGTATAATTTTTTTCAAATAATTTATTTTACTCATTCTATTTTATTAAATAATTATATTATTAGTACGAAATATCTATCAATAATTAATCTTTATTAAAATAATATTACTGATTAATTTTAGTAAAGTCTTTCAAATATTAAACTAAAATATAAATAAACTTAATTAGATTTATCTCATTCAATGTCACTATTTTTTTAAATACTCTTCATTTGAGTAAACTCTTTTATTTTAATATTTAATATCAATGAAGGACAATAAAAAATTATTTTAGTTAAAATTAATAAAATTAGATTCTATTAACTAGCTTTTCTTTTTATTTGCGCACAAGTTAATTACTTTTACGTCTGATCGAGTCCGAACAAATTTTCTTAAAAAGATTATTTTAATTGTCATTTTACAATAATAATAAAACATTAAATATATTTTTTAATTATTATGAAATGTTTATTTAGGAGCGAGAAAATATAAAATGATTATAAATGAGAGGAACTCTAATTAATATGAATGATAAACAAAAACATTTCATAATCATCTTAAATATCATATCAATATCGTTTTTCAATTGGTCAATCATGTAAAAGAAAATTACACTGATAGAACATAAATATTAATTAACTAAAGTGATTAAATCCAAATATTAATTAGGTTTCTTAATATCTGTATAAAAATATTAAAAATAATTTTATTTCATATATATTATCACAATTTTATAATTGGACTGACTATAGTATTTCTTAAATAATAAGTAAAATAGAATGGATGAAATAAAATAAAAATGAATTTTTTTTCATCTAAAATGTAAAAAAAAAAAAAGAATTAGAGAATAATTAGTCCCAAGAATTTTAAATAAAGGTAATGATGGCAATTACAATTTTCTATGGTTGTGGTTTCGATATATAAATCCATTAATGAGCCATAATTGCAGTTAGTAGGCCGTGGCAAAGCATTTTTTAAAGCCATGCTTTGTCCTTAACGCGGAACATATGCTTCCAATCCAATTCTTTTTTTATTTTATAACAGTTTATTCACGAGAATATATCGGACACGGTGACGCCGGAGGAACCGACACATAGATATGATCTCTCTTTTTTTTTTTTTTGTTTTTTTATCTTTAATATTATTATATTATTTAATAATTTTTAAATTAATTTTTTTTAAAATTTACCGTTAGATTAAGATTGTATATTACCTTACACGTGTATTATCAAATTACATAGGAATTTTTTTTAATAATTATTATGCTGTTCAATAATTTTTTTTTAAAATTAAATAATAAAAAATTGATCAAATTATTTATATTTTAATGGTTTTTAAAAATATATATGTCATTTTTTTTGATTTTGTACTAGTTAATTTGGTTTTGACCGAAAAGTAAGTAAAGATTGAACTCAAATATAATTCAAACCATTCAACCTTAAATTCAACTTATTAATCACTTTAGTACTATGTTAGTTTTGATTTATATAAATGAGATATTTAATAATTTTCTATTAATATAAAAGTTTATATATATAATTAAAATAAATTTTTGATTTAATGGTAAATTTTGAAAAAATATATCAAATTAAAATTTTAAAATTTTGTATGTATATTTTAAGAAAATATCATTGAATTGACATTTTAAAATTTTGTATGTGACTTGGAATGATATTTTAATGTGCAAGTTATGTTATTTCTTTCCGCAAATTATTTCAATAAAATTATACCATGGAATATTTTTTCACATGAAATAAAATGATTCTAATTAATACACACCTAATATTAAAAAGCAATTGTTCAAATAAACCGGTTAATATATATCACCATTATTATTCTGTTACACTAACTCAAAACTGGACCATCTAACGAACAGGTCATTGCTATAACCCTATTAATTAATTTGAGCAGTCTACTTCATAGCCAATATTTGAATTAATTAGTTTTTAAAAATAATTGCTTTTTTTCTTTTAACATTTTGAAATCTGTTTTGAAAAATAAACCTTTCTTGAACATGCCCTTCCCATTTCTTTTTCTTAAGGGTAGGAATATGAAAGCTATTAATATTATTTTCGTTCCTTATAATAATTGTTTGTTTTAATTTAGTCTTATTTTTATTTTTAATTTCAATTTAGTCTTAAACTAATTAATTAATTTTAATTTAATTCTTAATAAATTAATTGGTTTCAAACTGATTTCAATTTGGTCCCACTTTTATTTCTAGATTCAGAACGGTCTGTTCCAAAACTGATAATAGAATATTATTTATTAATTTTATTAAAAAATATAATAATTTTAAAAAAAAAATTTATGTTAAAAATTTTAAAATTACTTATTTTTATAAAATACAGTTGTCTTATAAATATAGTAATAATTTTTTTCTTTTTTTTAGGGGCCAAATTAATTTATTAGCGACCAAATTGAAACCAATTAATTAGTTTGAGATCAAATTAAAACTAAAAATAAAAGTGAGACTAAATTGAAACAAACAATCATTATAAGGTATCAAAATAGGTTTTTAGCCTTATTTATATATTAGGTCAGATTAGGCAATGTTTTTTTTCAAAAACGAAAAAGATTAAGTCAATTTTTTTTATAAAAGTATAATTAATTGAAAAAAGTTAAATTTTAGACCCTTAAGAAAAGCTTTTAAAGTTTGCTAGTCGATAAAGAAAAACAAAGCCATGCAAGAAAATCTCCACTCAAAAGTTATTTTGCTAAATAATAGTTTCTTGTTGAATTGTATTTTTAAGATATTGCTTGCACATTTGATGATGCAGCTAACTTGAACCGTACAATAAGTTGATGTGAAAGGAACATGTGGCTCTACGGGAAGAAAAGATTCGAATTTTTTATTATATGTTCTTTATATATATGTATATGATTCTCCTTAACCATTTTGATAATTCATAATGATTGGAACATGTAGACTCAATTCTATAATGCATCATGAGTTTCTTCATTAAAAACGTGGTCCACACACAATAACAAAAATGTCTCTAAATTTGCTTGATAATTACACAAGATGACACAAATTTTTATTTTCTTCTATTATTTATGAAATTTATATTTACTATATAGGATTATTGTTGTGCATGTTTTGGTTATTTTACTATTTGTTAATATAAAGAATGTAACTATGCCCTTGAATACGTAACAAAGTATTATGTTTTGCACCGGTTCCTCTGCTTCTATAAATGTGAAGTAAATTCGATAATAATGATAATTGCACTACAAGATATTTCAAACAAAAACAATTTTTAAGGTGTTGACATCTCTTCACATAAATGCCATAGTAAAATTTTTGGTCCATTTCATCAGATTTAGGTCACACAAATCCGAATTCAAGGGACCCTAGGATACTTGTAAATTGTGATGTAGTTAACAACACAAAATTATAATAAAATAAAAGGAGAAAAAATATCCATGGATAATAACCCTACAAGAGAATCACATATAAATTGACATCTCCTTTATAAAAAGGATATAAAGGTGATCAAGACAAACAAGTCATTTGCTTAATGAACATCTTGGTATGTAAGTGAAGTTGAAAAATGTTTAAAACTTTGTCTATGTAGCCAAATTAGCTTCCTTGAACAACACATCCCAGGGGCAACCCTTTTATTTTATATTTTTACCTTCAAAATTATCTTCAAAGGAATACACTCCTTTTTTTTTTTTTTTAAATCTATATTATTGTAAAATATCCATGTTGTCCATGTATTGAGACTCATTTTTTCATGGAAAACTCAATAATGTATAGTTGTCTTACCACATGTTGTTGTGCAGGAAATAACTTGCCCCAAAAGCGAACTCTCCCCATTGATACCGTATTCAAACTTCATGCCCCTATTACAACTTCTTCTTGGCCTCCAGGTAACCATAATGTGATTGGTCATATTCTCTTATTGTTGTGATATAGACTCTGTTTTTTTTTTTTTTTTTTTTCTTTCAAAAACATTTTTTTTAAATAAAGTAAGAACTTTTTTTTTATTTAATTTCTTCATGTATTTGTCTAAACTTTTTTTTTTAAATAAGCATTTTTCTATTTTTTTTTAAAGAAATAATGTCTATATGCATCTTAAATAATTACTTTTTTTTTTTTTATAAGCACTTGTTTAGAAACATTTTTTTAGTTTAAATAAACAAACCCATTATCTAGTAAATGCATGTTGATTATTGTTGGTGGTGAATTGCTACATTGATCAGGTGGTAATTTTGCAACTGAAATAATTGATCTTGGTGGGCTGCAAGTGTCTGAAATATCAACATTCAACAAAATTTGGGGCACCTATGGTGGTGGACCTGATGATCAAGGTTTCACAATTTTTGAACCATCAGGAATACCACAAGGTTTCTTTATGTTGGGTAGCTATAGCCAACCCAACAACAAGCCTCTTTTTGGATGGGTTCTGGCGGCAAAAGATCTATCTACAAACACCAGTAACCCCACTTTAAAACCACCAATTGATTACATGCTTGTATGGAACAGTGCATCTGACGATGGTCCCATCTATGTTTGGCTACCAACAGCACCTGATGGGTACAAAGCTGTAGGTCATGTTGTCACCACCACACCAAATAAGCCTTCCCTTGACAAAATCAGGTGTGTCAGGTTAGACTTCACTGACCAAAGTGAGACAAGTTCATTGATTTGGGGATCAGACAACTTTAACGTTTATGATGTTAGACCAAGCAATAGGGGAATCCAAGATCCTGGTGTTAGAGTAGGCACCTTTGTTGTACAAAATGGGAGTTCTAGCAGTCCATCTATTGCTTGCTTGAAAAACACCAATTCTATCCCAAAATACATGCCTACCCTACAACAAATCACGACAATACTCCAAGTTTACTCTCCAGTTATGTACTTGCATCCTGATGAAGTATACTTTCCATCTTCTGTGGAGTGGTTTTTCTCCAATGGGGCACTTCTATACAAGAAAGATCAAGAGTCAAGTCCTATCTCAATAGCACCAAATGGCACTAACCTACCTCAGGATCCTCACAATGACGGTGCCTATTGGTTGGACCTTCCTGTTGATTCAACTAAAAGAGAGAGGGTCATGATGGGAGATTTGCTAAGTGCTAAAAGTTATGTACATGTGAAACCAATGCTTGGAGGAACCTTCACTGACATTGCCATATGGGTATTCTACCCTTTCAATGGACCCGCAAGAGCAAAAGTAGAGTTCCTCACTATTAATTTGGGGAAGATAGGTGAACATGTCGGTGATTGGGAGCATGTGACACTAAGGGTAAGTAACTTCAATGGTGAACTAAAGCATGTTTATTTCTCACAACATAGTAAAGGTATGTGGCTTGATTCCTCCCAACTTGAGTTCCAAAGTGGCAACAAACCACTATATTATTCTTCTTTGCATGGCCATGCATCATACCCACATGAAGGCCTTAATTTGATAGGGTCAAATAAAGTAGGCATAAGGAATGACACTGCTAAAGGTGACAATTTCATGGATATGGGGGCATTTGAATTAGTTTCTGTTGGGTATTTGGGTTCTGATGTTGTAGAGCCTCCATGGTTGAATTACTTTAGGGAATGGGGTCCTAAAATTGATTATACTATAGATGAAGAGTTGAAGAAGCTTGAGAAGTTATTGCCAGGAAAACTTAAATCTGCTTTGGAAGACATCGTGAGGAGTTTGCCTAGTGAGGTGTTGGGAGAGGAAGGACCCACAGGTCCAAAGGAGAAAGATAATTGGAGTGGAGATGAAAGGTGAAGATTATAGAGTTTAGTTAAATTAATTGTTTCAAACTACAAAATAATTTGTGGCGATGTTAATTAATAATATTATTGTGTTCAAAGTGGAATTATATATCGGAAAAACAATATTAAAAACAAAAGAAACAAACAATAGCTTCATATAGTACTCAAACCTAATAAAACATTACTAGAATATGTTTATTATCTACAAAAACATATAAATCTAAAATTATAACTTCGTATTTATTTTATTGAAAGAAACAACATAAAAGTTCAAGAGCGTAAACAAACAACCAATAAAATTTCAAAAGTAACATATAACTAGGGTGTTTAAAAATCCAAATAAGTGAAGAGTACTAAATAAATATCCTAATTAAAATAATTAGAAAGAAATAAATGTTTCGTATATCACCTATACCTACAAAGTGTTGCATGGATACGGTATGATACTAGGTACGAATGTGGATACGAATATCAGATACACAATTTGTTTTAAATCAAGACTATGGGTACATTAATGTAATTTAAAAAATATAATTTTTAATTATATAAACTTGAGTGAATTGTATAAATGATAAAAAATTAATAAATAAATAGGACACTTGTCACTTGAGTTATAATATCAACCATAAAACATGGTTATAATATCACATTTTAATTGTGATACATCACACTTAAACATTTTTAATTTCATCGTTTCCTTGTCTATCACCCGTAAAAAAGATTGATTTTAACTTTGGTTCATAAAAAAATGTAGCAACTTCAAGAATGTTATAGACTTTGAAGTCATTGACAAGTTGTGTTATGTGACTTGTGGATGAAAATTGAGATTAGAGAGCAAATAAGAATAATTTAAAACCTAATTTTTTTTAAAAAAATTACTGACATTTAGGTTTTTATTTTTCATACTTGGGTATGAGTTGATACGTATCCAAAAAGTACCAATGAGTACTCAAATTAAGTACCCTTATTTTTTTTTGAAAATCGTTCTAGGTGTGTACTCAGTACGTATCCATGAGTACCCAATGCGTACCAAATATAGGTACATACCTGTTACATGTACAACATGAATTATAGAGTACTCACGCTCAGAGCACAACATGTAAAGCATATTTATAGATATGTGTAGATAAATAATTCTAACAATTAAGAATGCAATTTACAAGCAATAAGACATTTAATTAGTAATAAATTTAAGTTTAATAAATATTATAACACCTTTTGTCTTTTTTGTCCTAATAATCATATTTGTACTCATATCCATGGGTTATCATACAACCTTGCTTTATCAAAGGTTGACACCACCTTTTGAAGATTAAGGGAGATGGATATCACTCCTTTATTAAAGGAATGTTATGTTTTAATTTTTCTTTGAATATATAATTTTTAAGTCACCTTTGAGTATTGAAAGTTACCCTTCAATTGCCAAAAAAGACATTTTCCCTTTCATACATAAACAATATATTGTATATTTTGAGATACTTCACAAGGCTATTTTATTCACAAAATTATTTTGAATTTAATATTTAGATTAAAGTAACTATTTTATTAGTTACATGTTTTAAAACCTAATTAATATTGGTTTTAATGATATATAATAATTTGACCGTTGTAGTTTTAATTAATTTAAATTATCAAATGTTTTAAAATTAATTGTTTTTAACTCACATGATTGATTATAGTTACAACAGTTAGTATCCTCTTTTATAGGTACTGAAAACTAATAAAGTCGGATGCACAAAACATTGGTATTTTCTCTCTTTCTTTATGTTTTTTTTCTTTTCTGTGTTAAGAACTTGCTAGATATGCATTGTTAGTCTAGTACCAAGAAGATTTTATTCTTTCTTGGGAGACTTGTACAAGAGTCTGCAGATAAGCCTTTAGGATAATGCATTGCATGCCTCCAAAGTTCAATCAATTCGTATATTCAACATCCACGGACAACAATCTAAAGGATGACGACGTTGCCTATAGTGAAACACTTAATAAATTGGGAAGAAATAGTAACCACCACGACTTGATGACGATGTCCTCCATCTTGCTTCATCGATCGATCACATAGATGAAACTGTGTGGTGTTGAGGTAGAGGAGGTCGTCGTCATTATGGTGTAGTACTTCTCATTTTCGATGACATCAAATTCTTCCATGGTGGGAACCATAACCACAATGTAAGGATGCGTCACCTTCTTCTTGTGGTCCAACTACAAAGCATGCAACACGGTGCGGGGATTCCTCAAGGAGAAATGATTGCACTTTATAGAGATAAACATTGATTTTTTTGTGAGCGAGAAAGGGAGTTGCACAAGAGAACGAGAATCGCCTCCTTAACGCAAATTTTCTTCAACAAAAGCCTTATTATTGAAGGCTTGACGATACTCAACTTGTTGTGGAATAGCAGTGAGTTTGATAAAGGGCCACGTACACTATAAAAAATAGTCAATTTAGCGATCGATTTTTTTTTTTCCGTCGCTAATAGCGATATAATTAGTTGCAGTTTTTATTTAGCGCCCAAATATTTTTAGTAGAAATTTTTTGTCGCTAATTCTGTCGCTATTTAGTTTGTAAATTACATATCCTTTAGTGAGTAAATTGTATGTAAATTTGTGACCGAACTAGCGATAGAATATTTTTAGTAGTAATTTTTTGTCGCTAATTCTGTTGCTATTCAGTTTGTAAATTACATATCCTTTAGCGACTAAATAACAACTGAATTGTATGTAAATTTGCGACCGAATTGATATCGGTGGCTAAATTAGCGACGAAAAAATTTTGATCGCTAAAAACAATACAAAAATATTATTTATAATAATGGTATCGACGAAATAAAAATCGATCGCTAAATGTAAATTTTTAAAAAAATTTAAGAATGTATTTTTTTAAAAAATGAAAGCAAATATAAAAATATACAATATTATTTTTATAATGATAAGAAATAAAAATCATGACCCTTCCAATAAAATTATTTTATTTTTTTAAATAATACATATTATATAATTTAAAATAGATAATATATCATAATGTATTAAAAAATGAGAAACATAATGCTATAAAAGAAATTTAAATAATAATTTTTAATTGAATCTTTTAAAAAATTTGGACTAATTTGAATAATAATTTATCTATCAAATTTATTTATTTTTCTCTTGAGAAATTTATTGCTCTTTTATCATACTTAATATTTTATTTTATTAGATAATATGATGATACACAATTTATTGTGCTTTTCAATTTTGTTAAGGTAAAAAAACTTCTTTTTAATTAGTAAATCTTATTTTATTTCAATTATTATTTTAAAAATTAGACTTAAACATCTATTTCAATTGATATAAACGTGTTAGATCCATCAACTTAAAAATAATTGATTTATATAAGGATTAATAAGAACTTATCAAACAAATCTAAAATCGATCAAAAAATTAGATATTTTTTAAAAACAATTATTGTGTTAACTTAACAATAACCATCATAAAATTTTAAAATGTATTTTTCATTTAATTATTCATAACAAATACTTTTAAATTAAGCATTCACCAAAAAAGATACTTTTAATTAATTTTGTTTTAATTTTATTAATTCATTTTCATCCTCTCATCAATTGATTAAAAAGTGATAAAATATAATTAATATTCAATTAGTTTAATAATAAAAATTATAAAATAAATTATATATATAAATATATACACCAATAACACGTGAGTTATATTATTGATGAAATATTTCTGACAAATTTATATTTATCAAAAATATAAGAATTTCATCGATCTAATTATTAAATTAATTAAAAGTTATTAAATTTTACGAATAATTAATATAGAAAAAGATTGATTAGCTTTGGAATAAATTATTTGCAGACAATATAGTTGAAAAATTAATTATTTTAAATTATTTAACTAGAATCTTATTAATAATTTACTATATGATTTTGATATTTTTGTATAACTAATATCTAGTTTTAAACTTGATATGAAAATATTATAATATAACTTGATAAGATTTTAAATTAGTATTTTATTAATGGTTGATAATGAGAAAATAAAACAAGGATAAATATATTTTTTGAATTTTATATCTTAGATTTAAGATGCATAACTATATTAAATTAATTAATAATTTATTTAAAATGTTAAAATTTAATTTATAAAAATAATATTTTAAAATAGAAGGGTTATAATAACACCGGTGTAACTTTTACTAAGTATTACATCGCTCAACAACTTTATATTAAATGTGAATTTTATAAATTCAACCGTTAGATTGAAAAGTTTTTACTCTTATAGATTATACATACAAAATTTTATATGAATTCAAGATGATTTGATACTTCATTCTTGTAAAACAAAATTGATGTAATATATACATATCAAAATATACTAAAATATGAGCACTTTGATTACCTTAAAGTTGTTGTTCAATTTTAACAAAACTTGATATAAACATATAAAGTGATATGAACATTCAATCTAACGGTTGAATTTACAAAATTCACATTTAATATAAAGTTATTGAGCGGTGTAATACTTAGTAAAAGTTATACCAGTGTTATTATAACCATTCTCATTTTAAAATATATAAATTATTATTTAAACTTTTAAATTTATAATAAATAATTTAAATTGTATCATAATATTAATTTTAAATAAAAATAAGTAGATTGTTAATTATAAAAATAAGTATATATATATAAAAATAAAGATTAATTAAATATAATATAATTATTATTATTATTAGTAATATAATTATTATATATATTATTATATATTTATAACCGTCCAGACATACCGAAATGAGAAGGATCTAAAGATAGTATAAGTATGAGATTGTATAGTTGAGGATGACTTAAATGAATTAATTTGTACTCCCTATACTAATAACGTGGATCTGTTTTTCTGTAGCTTATCTCATCAGAACTCCATAGTTAAGCGTGTTTGACTTGGAGTAATATAGGGATGGGTGACCTTCTGGGAAGTTTCTCAGAAACTGTGTAATTAAGGACAAAACATGCTGAAAAGTGAAGTATTGTGAAATAGAATCCTTGAGAGGCCAAATATGAGTTGTACTATCCGTACCGCCATGCCGAGCTCGAGCTCGGCATCTCAGCACAAGGTG